CCAAGAGCAATGTGGTGGATGACATGGTGAAGTCGAACCCCGTCCTATATGGGCCAGGGGAACATCCGGATCACTGCGTGAGTAGGAGGCCTTGGCACGGTTTGGGGCAACGGTGATCATGGCCCAAACTAGTTGTGTGCATTATCGGGGGTGTTCATCTCTTTTAGCTGCAAGGGGTTATTTACTTGTTGCTTGCTCATAGACACCACTGCACACTCCCCAGACAGGTGGTGATCAAGTACGTGCCCTACATCGGTGACAGCAAGCGGGCACTAGATGAATATACCTCAGAGATCGCTTTGGGGGGGACCAACACCATCGTCATTCACAATATGTGCGAGGTGGGTACAACGCTTTAGGATTCCACGTGAGGCAGACGTGTTCTGGAAGCTCTATATTGGAGAGGAGATTACGGATTATTTTTTCCAGCAACCCTGTTCAAGCGATTGGAAGGGGAGGAGCATAGAAAGGAGGTATTCTGTTTCCTGCTTAGCCCACAGGCAGGGGGAGAACTGCCAGTTCCGAATTTTGGAAATTGGTGCACCTGGAATTCCTACACCGGGGTGGTGGTGGTGAAGGAATGATTACGTTGGAACAACCTTCCGAGTTGCATTTCTGATGTGTTCTGCAGGATTCGTTACTGGCTGCTCCCATAATTTTGGACTTGGTCATTCTGGCTGAACTCTGCCAACGGATCCAGGTGGGCATAGGAGATGCCAAGCCGGAGCCCCTTCACAGCGTCTTGTCCCTCTTGAGCTTCCTCTGCAAGGCTCCCCTTGTTCCTAAAGGCGCTCCAGTGGTCAATGCACTCTTCCGTCAACGGGCTGCCATTGAGAACCTATTCAGGTAACCCTCTTGGATAACATCCTGTACTCGGGGCAGCAACCAGCTGTATATGGATTGTGTCACAGTGGAAATCTGTACTTGCTCTGCATACTACTACACTTTATTTGCCAAATTTAGGTACCACCCATCTCACTCTCAGTGTGACTCTGGGTGGTGCACAGCTAAAACAACACAACTAATTTTTAAACTAGCTGAGGCTTAATTAAATTCTCAAAGAGAGTGGAAGATGCATCAGGGCTCTGGTTACATAGGTTCACTCCCAACTGCTCTTTGGAGTTTGCCAAAGGAGCATTTTCTTTCATTTTTTATTCACAATTCTGAACCTCCTATCTCCCGCAAAGAGTTGTGAAGGTAACCATAGCAACTCCTGAATTTGTTTGACTGGGCCTGCTGAGAACTGTGTTCGAGTCACCATGGTAACCCTGCACATTTCTTCCTTGCAGATCTCTGGTTTCTCTCTTTTTCGGGCCCTTCATTAGCCCCTAAACCTATTAACTTTAACTTAAAATGTAGCACTCGGCTCCCACAGGTTTGTTAGACAGACAACAGCCCTCCTGTTTTCCCCAAGGACCTGATACTTGGTGATAGCTCCCTCCACTGATTTGTATTTAGTTGTCATGGTTACAAGTTGCTGTTACACCTATTTTTGTGAACTTAACCAATTTCTGAGAAGCCAGAAAGCCCCTTTTTATGGCAGGGTTCCTTAAAGTCTGTGTTACTCCTCAGCCATAGATTTCCTAGCCAACAGTTTTAATTCATGGTCCTCCCTTGAGTTTTTTAAGCAGGAGAACACCCCCGCCCCCTTTCTTCCTGCATGATGGTATCAGCCTGTCTCCTTGTGACTGAAAATTTAAACCGTGTGTGTGTTTTTGGGAGTGGGAATGATTGCCTGCAAGGAAAGTATGTTAACCTGCTGGCTTTTTCCCTTTCTTTCACAGGGCCTGCGTTGGGCTCCCACCTCAAAACCACATGCAGCTGGAATACAAGACCCAGAGACTGTGGAGCCGTGCAAAGCATGGCCATCCCCCTGTGCCCCCAGCTTGGGTAGCTACTCCTAAAAAGGCAGCCCCCCACCTGAATGGCTTTGTGGATCCCATTGAAAGCAATGGCCTCCCAGATCGCAGTGCCCACACTTAACTGACCTGCAAAATTAGAAGCCCACAGCATGCTCCGCTACTAGTCAACACTGTATGGTAACCAGACCAGATTTACATCTTGGACTGTCTGCCTCCTTGACACTCCCCCGCCACCCCCCACCCAAAATCCCTTTTTTACATTTGGTTACTTAGATTTTTATGTAGTAAGTGGCAAAGCTGTATTTTGGGGACAGGCAACGTACCTTCTTTTACTGTGTCCTTACCTATTACGAATGAAATTTAATTGGAATGTTTGAAATCAGATGTAACTATAGTCGTATCTTTCATCTAGCTCAGAAATTTAGATATATTTGGCTATCCTTTTTTTAATGGTGACATTGGAATAAACACACTGAAAGATGACAGGTCCTGGTTACTTTGTGATATTCACCTCCAACCTTTCATTGTCGGCTAAGAAGGCTATCCCAACCTCTTCTGGTATACAGATCTCTGTGGCTTGAACAATCTATAGCAGGGATGGCTAACCAAGTGCCCAAAGCGTGCACACATGTGCACCCCCATAATGTAACATGTGCATGTGCCCCACCCCTGCACATATGTGCAGGACAACTGCTCATGCAACCCCGTGTGCTCCCTTCCCCCTGTGCATGGGTGGCAGATACCAGAAGACCAAGCTGTCTGGCAGGAGGCTCACATGTGCATGCACAGTGGAGCTGAGCTGGGGCGATGATGGCTCATGTGCCCAGAGAGAGGTCTCTTTGTGCCACCTCTGCCACATGTGCCATAGGTTCGCCATCACGGATCTATAGAAAACTCACGTAATACATCCTGTAAATGACAACTAGAAAAAAAACACACACATCCAGTGAAGGTTTACGTTGTTGCTAGGACTTGACAGCAACTTGCTGGTACATTTAAAAAACAACGAATGTTGATTGAACCAAGTTGATCTTAAGATGGCTAAATACAGCTTCGGTATTAAGAAATAGTGTGCCTTTGATGATTAGGACAGGAAAGAAGGGTTTCTTGACTAACTATGGAGATCTGGCTGGATCTTTGCTGTAGTAGAAAAAGATTGTACTCAATTTATTCTTGCTCTGCCCTACCAGTGTCTCTGTACTCGGAATGAAAATGAGTTGCTGTGATTCAAATAAGAAAAACATGTGATCTTCCTGCAGGAGGCTTGCTGCTGGCATCTGGCCACCAGATGTTGGCTTAGTTGAATCTTGGATTTTATCTTAGCAGTATAAGGGTTTGTCCCCTGAGGGAAGATAATAGATTGTTCTGCTTTTGCTGAATGGGAAAAAACAAACTACTTGCAGACATTTTTTTTCTTAAAAAAATCCAAATTACATTTATTGATGCAAGTTTTCTCATTGGAAACCTTAAAAATTCAACGACTTCCTCCAAAAATGGTATTTTATTTACACAGAATAACAATGAAAAAAAGCCCAAGCTGATGCTGTAATTCCTTTGGATCTGGATTGAGGCAGCAAATTTGCCTTCTTTCCCATTCTTTGAATTTGTGCAGAAGCTGACCCCAAACCCAGAAAAAAGGAACAGAGTCAAACATTTCTCTTCTCCCCAATATACTTTTTACAATCTCACAAAAGCTGTGAAACCCCAACACTTCAAAAGCGTTAAGATGTTATGAATATGAATTTGATTCCTCATTTTTTCCAGCCACAAATTAATTTGCTTCTGTTTCTACATCACTCGTAACTTTAAAACTATGACATTTTGGATATCATTTTTTCCCCTAGCTTTTTGTGTATCATTTTTCCTTACATACATTTTCGTAGTTGCTTTTCCTTGCGGGTTTTTTGGGGGGCGGGGGGGGGGGGGGGGGGGGTGGGGGGGGGAAGCTATATTATAAAATTCTGAGATGCAGAAATATCCCCCCCAAACAATTCAGATTTTGTGAGTCGTGAATTTGATAAGATACCGACTATGGATATTTATTCCCCAGCCATAGATCCAGGTTAAGTTGAGGATGTTTTGTACCAAATGGGAATACACCATCCAAATCCTCAAATCTTTGCATGTAAATATCGTTTGCTATTAAAAGATCACACACATCCCAGAGGTATGGAAGTGCTAGGTGTAAACATGATTTTGGAAGTTACAGTGACCAGGCAGAAATGAGAACGTGACCAGGACAGCCTTTCCCGCCTTCTTGCTAAATTTTCTAAGGAGGAAAGAATAGGATAATGAGCCCCCTTTTACATAAATTGTTGGAAAAAAAAAAAAGATTCTGCCTTTTTGCATTGCTATTATGGAATGTACCTGTTTCTCCTCAGGGTGGCAGCAGAAACAGCACTGACACGGGTTCTTAAGTTTCTGAAATGAAGGTGGGAGGTGGGAGAGTGAGTCAGTGTCATATTCCAGTTAGGCTGGGAAGATGGGATTGCAAGCTGCATCCAAGGAGAGCTGGGTAGAACGGTTGCAATCAGCTAGAAACTGCTCTTACATATATATATAGGTTGTTTCTTTGCGCCTACCTAAATTCAGCCACTGAAACTGTGGGCTTACGGGGAAAAGGGGATCTTCCTGAAATAGTAATGGCCTTTCAGAGAGGTAAACCCATTCTAAATCTGGCTCTCTCATACTTGCGTCTCTGTGACCAGAGCTGTTCTCACATGAATGAAGCGAGTAGTGAATGACTTATATTATGCCTTTTTTAAAAAACAAAAACAAAAAAAACAAGAGCGTATAGCATTAGCCCGTGTAAAGAGGAACAAGGGCTGATGGGCTATAAAAAAAGCAGATGGTGAAGAATGGCATTTGAAAGAGCTGATGGGGGAAAAAAAAATCCAGAACTAGCGTTTTCTTTTCAGAAAATCTAGAACTAGCAGATCTAAAGGAGGGAACGCATAATCTGCAACTTCATTAAACGCCCCTGTAAAAGCTGTCCCTTAATTTTTAATATGCCTGGAGTGGGGAGTTATCATGGAAAGCCAACATATTGTCTTCAGTTCATTTGAATCAAAGGTAAATTAAGGTGAAATGGCTTTTGTTCCCACTTTTGTATGTGACCTCTTCCAGCAGGTCTGGAATACAGGCATCCATGTATCTAATCCCAATACCAAAATATATAGGAACATCAAATACTAAGGGGCAGAGTTTTTGTCACGAGAGCACTGTACAGTTATGTTCTTCTCTTTCTCCCTTTGAATGCCTATGAATTGTAATGATCACTCATATCTAACCAAGCAAAATAGAATGACTCCGTTCTTTTTTCGCTGATCTCAAAAGCCGAGATCTGAAATCCCAATGTTTTCTGGAAAAGTTAAGCCCAGACATCTCAGCTTGCAGAGATGATAGGGATGACAATAATAAAGATAATGCCATTCATTGTTCAGTCTGGTTCTGGATGCCACATTTTAAGAAAACAAACTGGAATGATTTTAAAGAAAGTAGGGGAAAAAGACAATTGGGTTCAGGAACTGTAGGGACAACGGAGATGATCTCGGAGAAGACACTGAGTAGCCCACAGAACAACCACAAATGCTGAAGCATGCATTAAGCCCAGGTAGGTGGGAAAGTATTAGAAAAAGATTCAGATTGGTTCCTTCTGATATAAGAAGGATGGAAGGGAAAACATGGGCAGACTTGCAAGATTCTGTTACTGTAGCCTGATCAATAAAGTTTAGTTTTTTAGTCTTCCTGTTTCTTGATCTTGTCTGCTCGTAGGCCTGGTAGGAATTTTAGTCCTATGAGAACAGACTGAAGGAGTTGGGTGTGTTAAGCCTTGAGGGAAAAAGAACAAAGGGGAGAGGAAAAATACGATGGCACTCTTGAAGTACCACTGAAAGTCAAGATCTCTGTAGCTTGAATGAATTTAAGACCCAAGAAGACCAACTGGTTACATATTTGGGTAAATTTTCTGCTGGAAGAATCCTCTGATAATGAAGGAGAAGGTGGGCTCCCCTTGGCTTGAGCTCAAAAGCTGTCCAGCTATGGTGGTTGCCTACTATACACCAACCAAGTAAATCACCCATGTTTGGGCTGTAATTTTTTGCAGCTGATGGCAACATAGTGGTTCTTAGAAAAAAAAAAGATAAGTAGGTTTGGCCCACTTAGCACGTGGCTGTGAGACCTTCAGGACCTTCCAGAACTATAGACTAGACTGGGAAGTCAACCCTCCCAGATGGCAAAGGCCAATTGTTGCCACTTTCACAATATAAACCTCAAGGGATACCCCCGTTCGGTCCCTTTCAAGGACCAAACCATCTCCATCCATCCCGGAGGACATGTGTTCCTTTGATAACAGTTGTGAGAAGAGGCCAAACAATTAGATCTCTTCCAAAGTACTGTATTCACCGACACACAAATACAACAGGCTTCCTTGAGTTGATGCCCTTCTTCACAGGTTTTAGCTTTCAGCTCCCAACACCCAAAGTTGCTGGCTATGGTGACAGGAATTATAATAGGAAGCATCTGAAAGCTGACAGATGGAGGACTGACTTTTGAAGAGACAGTCAAAAGGTGTATTTTTATATTCTTGTTAATGTTGGGAAGAGATGGAGGTGTTTTATATAAGTCATTCACAGTATTTCCCCTTTACCTTCTTAGCTGGAAGGGATGGAAGACAGAAGAGGGGAAATCTCTAATGTGCACCTCTGCCATAAAGTTCTCTTACACCCAAGTTTCTTTTTCAGTTACTGCCGGCAGAGGTGACAGAAAAGGCATGTCATACCCTATTTGAGAGAGAAAAATGAAAAAGGCTAAAAACATGATGCAGGGAAAAACAGTAACCGCTAACATAATTTGTATCTTTGCATAGCAACTAGTAGATCAGCTGGTGGCAGCATCCGGCTGACCTTGTCTAGGCTTGGAAGCTGTGCAGATTTTAGTCTGGTTAATACCAGAATGGGAGACCACTAGGAAATCCCAAGGCTGTAGGAAGCTGAAAATACATCCCATAAGAATGCAATGGCAAAATACTTCCATGCTATGGCCAAGAAAACAACATGGAAGTTTCTGTTGAAGTCATCAGGAACCAAGCTCAAATTCACCTCGAGTTCAATATTAGTGTATCTTTTCCCCACCCCTGTAGCATCTGTTACCACACAGTCTCTGCCAACCGATATTGGCAGAATCAAGAACAGAATTCCATAGAAGTCTGTGCAATTAGGAAACAAGTTTGCTATTTTTTTTTTCTGAACACAGGCAGGAAACCAAAGCTGGCTGCAGACACGAGCGAAGAGAATCTGCCCATTTCTCAAAAACTTTTGCATTGCCAGTCAAAGCCCACATACCTCCCAATTAATTCCATCAGCTCATGGCAGCCAATTTTCACCTACCACGTCTTTCCCGCTTACCTCCCAAGCTCACCAAAAGGGGCTTTGTGTCTTCCTCTAGGCCCGCTCCTGCCGAACTTCAAGACTCCGGAAGAGTCTTGACCGTGTTTCCTGATGCACATGCTTTTCCCCACAACTGTACCACCGGGTTTTTAAGAACGGAGACCAAAACGAAGCTTTCCAAACAGCTCAACTGTTCCTGCTACAATGCAGAATTTAAAAGTCCAAAGACGCACGGTAGACGACAGTCCCAATGTCCAATGGATCATCATAAACCCTTTCGGGGTAAGGGATGCTGCAGTCCAGCAGGAGAGGAAGGTGCATCTCTCTGCCTTTCGTAATTGTCCGCTTGTGCAGCATTATCAAACCTTCGGCTGTCCCACTTGATTAGTGACAATGCTCAACGTCACTAGAGTTTACTGAGTACCAGTTAGAGAGGGCAGGTGGTGACCTGGGCAGGGATCAAAAGTCCAGACTGGGGGCAGGGAAAGGCTGAGACTAGCAATCAAGGGAAGCTGTTATTAAATACGGGGGGGGGGGGGAAAAAACCCCCCGGGGGGGGGGCATCAGTCTGGCTCCTCGGGGACTGGGCATCCAGGCCAGGTCACACGCTCATTGTCATGCTGGGCGAATACTGGGGAGACAGATGGGAGACACCACAGCATTAGAGGAAGGGTCCATCATGGAGGAGGGGGGGCACCGGCCCCCTCTTCACACCTCTGACAGCTGCTGCTTCCAGCATGAGATGGCACTGTTAGCTGTTGGTACTGACAGCCCAGTCCGACCCTGCCACAGGGTGCCCCGCCCCCCGCGTGCCCCCCGAGATCCCCGCCCCCTCCGCGGCCGCCGCTCCACGCAGGCCCTTACGCTCTCGCTTTGGAAGGGGTTTATGAAGCTGCTGCCCATCTCACTGCTGCTGTCATCACGCGGGGTGCCCGGTGGGTTAGCTATGCTGGCCATGCTACCCGGGGAATTCTTGGGAATCAGAAATAAAAAGAGAAACAGAGGGGAAAAAAAACAACAGGCAATTCACACCTGAACCATGATTAGAATACATTCTCAGAGTTACTGAATTAGATAGCATTGTTAAAAAAGGCATCACGTGGACAAGATTGGCAAAAAAAAATATTTTTTAACAAAAGAGCCCGTTTCCGGACTTTATGAAGTTCTTAGATTCTATTTGCACGATCAGTTTAACTAGATCATGGGGAAACAACATTACTGTGGGGATTTTCTCACAGAGAAATAACCTGCTTAACTGCAAGCAGTCCTTGACATACCAGCGTAATGGAGCCTGCCCAGTCTGACTGAATATCATAACGGTTGCAAAACAGGCTGATCCCATGACCAACCCAATTTTACAAACCCCCCACTTTTTTTTGTGGCGATCAATAAGCAAATCCTTAGTTGTCAAGTGAACCCATGGTTTGCTATGGGAGTAGTTTTGTCACAACTTAGAAGCACCAGTTTTTGGTAAAACGATCCTAAAATACGGTGATGCTGCAAATGGTTGTAAATGCAGCCATTTGCAATACTGCTAAGCGCCCAAAATTCAATCACATTCAGGGAGACCGAACCACCACAACTTCCAGAGTCATCCAGAGAATAACGGGTTGTCTCTAAATGTAATAAATAAATAAATAAACTTTGAATTTGGATAATAAGTCCTCTTTTTTTTAATGGCTCGGTCATAACTTCGAACAGTCACTAAGTGACTAGTTGTAAGTCAAGGACTATCCGATTCAGATAAGAGTTAGTCCCAGAAAGACCCTCCCAAATATCATTCCTTCAATTTTAGGCAAGGAGGTCAACTGACTCTCTTTATTCCTAAAGATAAATATTCTACAGTGAGAGGGCCCCACTGAGAAGAGATCACGATCCCCTTTAACGCCATATAATCTTTCCTGATCCCCTTCTGATCCCTTGGTCCCCAGGGCCTGTGGGACTCCAGCTTGCCCTCTGGTAGAGGACACCATGAGCAAACCCTTACCTTGGGCATCCCATCTATTTCACCTGGACCTGCAATGAGAATGGAAGCAGTTAAAGCACAGCCTTTAGGTGGTCCCTACCAGGTTGGAAGGCTTTTGTGGAAAGCACAGATTTGTTGGCAGCCAAAGTCTTAGGAGCCTCCACTGAATCCACAGAAATTCTTACCAATAAAAACTTTCTGCCAATGAAAGTTTAGAAAGGTATAGAATATCAGCTGCCGTCACTATCTGATTTTAAGAAAGTCTTACAAAACCTATTTCTTTTCCTCAAGGCCTCTTTCGAATGGGATGTTAATGTTCAGTTCTTGATTCTGGCTCTATGGTCCCTTTTACACAATCATTGTTTTACTTCCACAAATCTTCAAGAATAACTGGATCATCTGCAATCGTGCCATTTCACAGAGCTTTGAAAGCAAGGACCGAAACAACTAAACTCAGGATGTCTTTGAATGAAGAAAGCTATTACTCCTGAATTCAGACGGCTAGCCCAACATCTATCTTGTCCTATCTAGAGTAGTTCCGTTCTTATGTAAATTTCAACTAGAAAGCAAGCTGTGCACTGTTCATTTTAGAGCCATTGTTAGCTTTTGAACGGTTATTGAATGAATGGTCATAAGTCAAGGACATCTGTATCTGATTTCAAGCTCAGGAATCTCAGTCGTATAACATCCCTGCTAGGCAACCAACAGATAAATGGACATGTGCGTAGGAACATCAATTCCCCGATACTGAAACATGGAAGCTGTTCCTCATCTTTCTCTGCCAAAGTTAAAGATCGAGGATACTCAGAGTTAGCATTCTGGCGTCCAGTGGTCTGCACTCCTGCTCCAGTCAGAACCAGCAAATCTTGGCAGAACTCAAAAAGCTAAGCAAAGTTGGAGCTGGTCAGGACTTGGATAGGAAACCACCAGAAGATTTCACATCTAGAGATCAGACTGGGAAGTTAAAAAAACATCTTGGAGGAAACCACTGAGAAAACATTTCTAAATAGACGTAAGTAATGTAAGAATTTTATGGATGTGCCCTAAAAATCACCAGAAATCATGCTCAACTGGACTTGACCTCTTTTAGCATGCAAGAGGACATTGAGAATTTATTGGATTTTATTTATTTATGGATTTTTATTGTCCATGGCCAGCCATGCAGGAAAATCCATGCTTACCTAAAGATCCATTCATATGATGGGGCTCCATGGCACTCATTCCAGCCATTGGACCTTCTGGACTTGGCCCCATGGAGAACTAAACATTATGCACAGACAGCGTGAAAAGAAAGAGAAATACTGAAATAATGAGGAAGGGCAGATTCCAGACGGAGAAGCATGACAGTTTTCTCGCTCATGTTTGTATTTTATTTAGAGCCACGGTGGCGCCGTGGTTAGAGTGCAGTACTGCAGGCTACTTCTGCTGACTGCCAGCTGCCTGTGATTTGGCAGTTGAAATCTGACCAGGCTCAAGGTTGATTCAGCCTCCCATCCTTTTGAGGTGGGTAAAATGAGGAGCCAGATTGTTGGGGGCAATATGTAAACCACTTAGAGAGGGGTGTAAACTGTATACTATGAAGTAGTATATAAGTCTAAGTGTTATTGCTATTTATTTACTAAGAAAATGTATATGGCCACCCAATTCACTCATGGTGAAATAAGAAATTTGTCATAGAATATCACCCAGCAACAGGGTGTGAGCAGGAAGAAGGCACTTACCCCAGGCCGGCTTGGTGGAGGGCCAACGGAGTTCATCATGTACATATTTTCACTAGAGTTGGTAGAGTCTGAAACAAGGACAGGACATTGCAAGAAAAAGTTACCAAGGCGGTCTCTTTTCATACAGTGAACATCCAGAAATCTCAAGGAAGTCCATCAGCAGGACATGAAATTGGGTGGTATTCAGAGATAAGCTGCCTCAAATAAATGGAGGCTTCATCCCTAGGGTTTAAAATCTGGCTGAATGAGATCAAAAGTCTGTCTAGTCCCAGAGCTCCGTTCCAAAATTTAGCCAGGGATGCCTCTTCAATCTACAATAGGCTAAACTGTATTATGCACTGGAGGAGGGCTTTAGCTTGATATGTAGATTAATCTGTAGATTGGTTACAGTCTAGAGAGACTCTAGCACTGTGATGGTGAACCTATGGCACGCATGCCAGAGGTGGCACACAGAGCCCTCTCTAGGGGCGCACGAGCTGTTACCCCAGCTCAGCTCCACCGTGCATGTGCATGCGTGCTTCCCATTTCCCAGCTGGTCTTCGGGTCTCTGCTGTGCATGCACGAGGAGTAGGGCACATGCAGGGGTAGGGTACCTGCACGGGAGACGCGCATGCATGAATGGGGATGGAGCGCATGCACATTGCATTTTCAGGGCACTCACTGCCAGAAAGGTTAGGCATCACTGCTCTAGCATAACAACTAGACTAGGATCTGCTTAACCTTGATTTAGGCTCAAGGTTTACCATGGATACCTGGGGAATTCTCAGAGTTGAAATCCATATATTTTAAAATTAGCAAGGCTGAGAAACATTGAGCTAAACTAAGGTTAAGCAGACCCTATTGCTCAAGGAGAAAAAATGTGAAGTACCAGAAGGCCAGAAAGCTGAGGCATTCCTGTGCAACATCCTTGATTAGGCACTTTTTATTTTTAGCTGGACTGTGTGTATCTTTAGATAGAAAGGGTCCAAGTGGGAAAAGAAAAGTTTTTTCCCCACCACAGGAACTTCTCTGGAACTCTTTTTCAGTGGCTATGGTTCCACAACATGCTTAATCCAGCTAAGGCCTAGTGGCTACATTCCCACAATATACTTGGTTTTTCTAAATTAGAAGTAAAAAAATAACAGGAGGAAGTCTATGAAACATGACAGTATCCTCCCGCATGTCAATGCATTTACCTATTGTTTTTATTCTAAATCTCCAATTTTCATGTTGGCTGAGCCCCTGATTACATTTATCCAATGAGGTAATCCAGTCTTCAAAATTAATTTAAAACAGTGTTCTGGAAGATAGATTCTTTCTTTCTTTCTTTCTTTCTTTCTTTCTTTCTTTCTTTCTTTC